TCCATCATTTAAATAGCGTATAGGGCCGGGGAGATGGCTCAGTAGGATAAGCGCTTGACTGGCAAACACAAAGATCTGAGTTCAATCCCTGGTTCTGGAAAAAAAAAAAAAAAAAAAAAAACTCTCAGCTCTCTAAATTGCATATAGTCTGTTAAGTTGAAATCTGAGTATATTCAGTTGAAGTTTCATATACACTTAAAAATATAGCATTAAAATAACCCTATTGTAGTTATTTCTGTATTGATAATAGAATCTCTTTAAGACATACTTTTAATAAATTATAGAGAAACAACATTGGCTTATCCTGCCAAAATTCTCTCACTAGAAATGTTCCCTTCTCCTGTCCTGTCTGGGAGGAATACCACAGGAGTCCTCATGTTCTCACAGTGACATCAGCCCTTCCTAGGTTAGAAAAGTTGGTTGGACTAGGAGTCAGCACCTGATCCAAGCTGAGTTACTCTGTTATAGGATTCTGGAACTAGACCTTCCTCACAATGACTCTTCATAAGACCTACTCTTGGGAACCAAAGCAATGTGTGTACCACCAAGATCCTTCCCAACATTTGTGTATTAAACCCAGTTTCCAATACCTGAAGACAGGTTTTCTCTTTAACTCTCACACAAAATTTCATCCACCCAAAATAAACAGAACAGTACAGTGAGTTCTCATCTTCAGTGAGGATCAACTCATGACCAAATTATGTACCCTCTTGAACCCATCTTTTTTTTTTTTTTGGTGGAACTGGGGATTGAACTCAGATCCTTGCATTTGCCAGTCAAGCACTTATCCTACTGAGCCATCTCCCCAGCCCTGAACCCATCTTCTTTTACTTATTTGTACATACAATTATATCAGATCATGACATCTATAAATATTTCTATATACAGTGAGCATTCTATTATTAAAATTATACAATCATACAAATTAATAAAACCTACCTGGACTGACATTCTGCATACCATTTTCATAATGTTCTGGAGGGACTTGAGTATGAAACACTGAGAAAAAGGTGTCTTC